TTTGAAAAATCCACTGATTGACATAGTCCATCATAGCTGAGATGGTTGATTTACCTGTTCTGTCTTCTCTCTTTTCTTGGTTTGGGTTCTGAGTCCGGCATTTAGATTAGGAAGATCTCCAAAGAAACTTCCAGTCCAACCTGGTTCTGCCCAGCACATACTTGGCCCTCACATAAACCAGTAGGAGCTGCAGCCCAGTTGGAGCGACCCACAATAACCCCCACCAGGCCCACCCCCTACCCTGGTTTGCCAGTATGTGTAGCAGTAATCCAGTCTGTCCCACACCCCGTTCCACCCCAGCCACTATCTTAGTTTTATGTCCTCCTGTGGAAGTGGTAACCCAAGAGGGATGAGCCCACTATTTCCCTCCCATGCCTCTCCCACTCCCAGATTCCAGCTGATGCTGTGGCTAAGCCCAAACAACCCTCACCCACTCTAATTTTGTTTGCACCAGTAGGAATAATCAGCCCAGCCCGGCTTTTCCCTGATCTAGTCCACATGAGGTGCACAGGTATGGTAGCTCTGCCTAGTCTAGTCTGCCCCCATCCCAGCCTATGCTCTTCTGCGGCAGTAGCTGTCCAGCAAAGGAACCCTCCCTTATTCCCCTGCTGGCTCTGCCCACTTCCTTTCTTGTTCTCAGGCTGGTTGGGTGCTGCGGTCCCTTCCGGTACAGGCAACCTCACCTTGGCATTCCGTATTGTGCACTAGTCTTTGTTGCGACCAAACCTGGCTCGACCCACACTGGTGCCTGAATTTGCCAGTGGATGACGTGGACAGATTCAGCCTGGTCTTGCCCCCACGTCTGCCAATTGTATGCCAGTGTGTAGCTTTCCATGGCCTATTCTGGGCTGTTTCCTATCATGTTTCTTGCGCTTACCTGCCGGGTCTGTGTCCTGCCAGAGGAGTTGCCCAGGCTTCTCCATCAGAACCTCTCCCAATGCCAGGTTTCACGCATACCAGTGGGTCCATGAGCCAACCCTACTCAGTCCACCTCCTGTCATAGCAGGAACTGTGGCTTTTCCTGACTGGCCTTCAACCCAATCTGGTTCTTGCTGTTGGATGTTCCAGCCCAGCCATGGTTTGTCCATATCCATGTATGGCTCACACATGGCTCAGTAGGGGTTTGAGACCTTGCCTAGTCCATCCCACATCTGCCCTGATCCTCCAGGACACCAGGGGGTGTTGGGGTCCGTCCCGGTTCGGTGCATCCAATCCCAGTCCACACTTATGCCAAGGGAGACTACAACTGTTTCCAGATCAGAACGCAGCCCCCCTTCCAGGCCACATGCCTCTTGGTGGGAACCTCAGCCCAGCTAGTGTTGTCCCCTTTGCTCCCCAACCAGGTCTGTTCCCAGCCATAGATCACTTGCCTGCCAGTGGATGCTCTGACTCAGCTTGGCACAGCCCCTCCCCTGTCCCAAACTCTGCCTTAGACACTGTGGCTTAGCGTTCCTGGCTCCCACAGACCAGTAGGTGCAAGAGCCTAGCTCGGCATGACCTCTGCTCCCTCCTGGTTTCTAGTTTTACTTGTGGGCTAAGGTTTGCTCAGTCGTGTCTGATCTACTCTGTTCCATTACCAGTTGACACATTAGCCAGCTGTTGGAGCTACTTTTGCAGGACAAGCCCCAAGCCATAGTTTCTGCATGGACTGGTATTTGGTGGTCAGCATTATTAGTGATTACAAGTTTTGCAAAGGAAGAGTTACTGCCTGTTTCAGGTCCAAGAAGCACAATGGGTTCCACCTGAAGCTAATTAAGCAGTGACTCAAAGAACCAAATCCCCAGAGCTCCCCAGCCGGGCGGCCAGCAGGCAGAGCCTGGCACCAAATGGCGCACTGGCAGGCCCAGGAACAGCTCACCATGTGCACATGGCGGCTGTCCGGGATCCAGGCATGAGACGCCCTGTCCTGAGACCCACCAGCTGCCGGGAGGCTGCTGGAGGTTTAAATTCCCAGGCCCAAGGTCGCACCCCTCCCAAATCCCATTCACCGCCCAATGAAGGCAACGGGTGGGTCCCGGACCTGCCCAGTCCCAGAGACCTCCCCCCTCAGTCTACTCACCCCGAAGGAAGCAGCCCCCGGAGCCCAGCAGGCCTGGGAACAGCTCACCATGTGCACATGGCGGCTGTCTGGGATCCAGGCATGAGACACCCCGTCCTGAGACCCACCCAAGCAATTCAGTTACACTTTAGAAAATGTTCTCCATGCTGAATAGGGGAGATGTTTCCCCATCAACCAGATGAATATTTTATTTTATTTTTTTTTAAAGATTTATTTGTCTTTATTGCAAATTCAGATATATAGAAAGGAGGAGAGACAGGGAGGAGGATCTTCCATCTAATTGTTCACTCCGCAAGCAGCCACGAATGCTGGAGCTGAGCCAATCTAGAGCAGGAGCCAGGAGCTTCTTCTAGATCTCCCATGCAGGTGCAGGATCCCAAAGCTCGGCTGCTTTCCCGGGCCACAGGCAGGGAGCTGGATGGGAAGCAGTTCAGCCGGGATTAAAACCGGCAACCATATGAGATCCCAGCACGTTGAAGGTGACTTTAACCACTAGGCTATCACGACAGGCCCAGATGAATATTTGAATGTGCTTGTCCAGTGGTTTGTGCTACAAATCAGGATTTGGACTAAATTAGTAGAACTTCCCATTTGTGATAAGAAGCAGAAAATTCTAGTGCTTTTTAGGAATCCTGGAGGGTAACAGGAAAGTAATTAGATAAGCTAGAGAATAGCACCTAATGTCTTTGTTTTTTAACTTAACCAAGTCTCTAGTTAGAGAATTGAAGTTGTACTCATTGCAGGAAGCTGGAAGATAAATGTATTTTTTTGCGGATACTGCCCTTCTCTTTTCCTCCAGCGTACATATGCATATTTTCTAACTACTGTATTTTTAGCTAAGAAACGATCTGGAGTTGTGTTGCTGGTTAGGCCTCTGCCTAGAGCACCGGCCGTAGATATCGGAGCGTGGGTTTGAGTCCTGGTTCCTCCACCTCCAGTCCAGCTCCCTGCTAATACACCTTCGAAGACAGCTGAGGATGAAGTGGTTAGGCCCCTGGCACCCACGTGAGAGACCTAGTTTCAGACTCTTGGTTTCATCCTGGCCTAACTCTGGCTGTTGCAGACATGTGGGGGAGTGAACCAATGGATGGAAAATCTCTTTCTCTCTCTTTCCATGTTTGTCAATCTGCCTTTTAAAAAAAGAGAATGATTCTTTAAAAAAGCAAAACAAAACAAAAAAATAGCCTTTAGAGTGTCCAAGATGGGCCAGACATCTTGGTGGATGTTGGAGGCATCAACGTGTCTACTTTGTCAAATCTGTAATAAATCAGAAAAAAACAGTATATTTGTAATTTTTAAAGGTTTATTTATTTTCATTTGAAAGCGAGAGAGAGAGAGAGAGATGTTATCTCCCATCCCCTGGTTCATTCCACAGCTGCTAAATAGCTAGAGTTGGGCCAAGCTAAAGCGACTAACTTTATCCAGGTCTCAAGCACTTTGTGCATTAGCAGGTCACTGAGTCAGAAGTGGAGGAAGGACTTAAACCCAGGCACTCCGGCGGGGGACACAAACATCCAGGTGTCTTAATCACTGTGTGCCAAATGTCCACTCCAGCAGGACTGTAATCTTAACAAGCAAAAACCCATTTTTATTCACTTCAAATGAAGGTATATATATATATTAAGGAAATATTTTGATGTTGAAAGAAATTGAATACTTTTAGTTGCTTAAGAAAAGGCTAATAGTAGACTTGAATCTGCAATCTGAATAGAATGAAATATAACCTACATTTTGATTGAATGCTTTAAATACTGTTAAAATCTTCTAAAAATCAGGCTTTGTTTGTTTGTTTGTGTGTAAGTAAGGCAGAACAATAAAGGAAGACGGAGAGAGAGAGGAAAGACCTTCCACTCCCCGGATGGCCGCAACAGTCAGGCTTGGGCCAGGCTGGCCCCAGCCAGAAATTCTGTCTGGGTCTCCCGTGTAGGTGACAGGGTCCAAGAAACGGGGCCATTGTCCAGAAAACAGAGTGAGAAGCGGGCAGCTGGGATTCCAGTGGGCACTCAGACATGGGGCAGCTGGGGTGGGAGCAGCAGGTTGAACTGGACAACACAAGGCCAGCCCCGAGCAATGAGATGCTTCACCATGTTGAACAGTTCATTCTCCTGACAACCACCGTGGGGTATAAATTTATTTACTTGATGTATTACAAATAAAGAAACCCACTGAAAGCATGAATGTCTGGATTATGTAATTAAAAAGTAAGTAATGCATATTCAGACTGCTCTGTCTAGTGCCCCGTTCTGTGACTCCGATCATGCCGCACGAGCTTGCTACTTTAGAGGTCTTCTGGTTCATAATGATCTGGTCTTTTTTCAGAAAAGAATTAAATACTGTCTCCTGAGGATGGCAGTTTTAGTAAGAAATAGATGAATTGCTCAGGTGATTTTTATTTTATTTTATTATATAGCATGATGAACTTGTATTATTTTAAGTGTCAACTGTAAGTCTTTCTTTTTGGTATCTTAACTCATTTTTAAAAGTTTGTTGCACAGCTTTTCTATGTCTATAATCATTTTCAAGACTACTATTTATTAAAGATAGTTAAAAATTAACAGCACCATTAAATCCATTAACAAAAAAGTTATGATATCACCAATATCATAAAATAGAGATGGGCAAACTCCGGCCTGTTCTTACAGAAGACCTTATGTTGGAACACTGGGGCACTTATTCATTTGTTTATCACCTATGGCAAGTTGTGTGCAGAAGAGCAGGGCTGGATGGCTGCTTCCTAGACTATGTAGCCCACCAGAGCCCAGATGTACACTGCGCTCTGTGCAGGGAAGGCTTCCCATCCCCCTGCTCTAGGTGCCAGATGCCCCTAATTTGGAGTTGGACATCTCCACTAGAATGCCAGAAACTTCTTTAAGAAACTCACCAGAAAATCTCTGCCTAAATGATGTTCTAGTCTAACATGCCTTCCCTCTGATCCTTACAGGTCCCAACCAAAAAGCTGAAGAAATATGAGAAAGAATATCAGACGATGCGAGAGAGTCAGCTGCAGCAAGAAGACCCCATGGACAGGTACAAGGTACGCAAGGTGTTTTGCACCTGTCAGAGCCAAGGGCTTCACTTTCAGCCTCAAGCAGGCCAGACAAGTTCAGTCCTTTCTGGATTGTTTGACCAGACCCTGTCCAGTCCAGGCGTGTTTTCATTTTAGGATCCTCCCAAGTAGCCAACCATAATATTTCTTTTCTTTCAGTTTGTATATTTGTAGGTAACTCCAGCTGTTGCATTTATACTGAGAATCTTCATAAGAAGCTGAGAGAAGGAGAGGGAAAAGGAAAGAAAGTGGCTTTCTGCTTTCAAAACTCAGGAAAAAAAAAAGAAAAATGGCAAAGTATGGTTTTAGCATTGCATGATCACATCCTCAGAGACTTTTAGAAGGTGAACTATTGCAAGACTGGCAAGAGAATGTTTTGTAATTATTTGTGTGTGTAGCAAATGTTAACAATGCAAACTTATTTGGAAAGAAAAATAAAAATCCCGAAGGTGCATCAAGCATGTTAGTGGTGTCTGTTGCAACACTTGTTTCCACAAACTCGTGAATGACGGGGATGTTTGACTCTAGCATGAAGTTTCAGAGTCCAGATGATTTCAGCTGAACGTCCAATTTAATTGTGGTATTTCTTTTACAAAGTGGGTTGTTCGTGGAGTCAGGTCTCTTCAGTGCCAATTAGCTATGCTATTCCCAAGGATTTGGTGTGTCGGAAGATACCGTTTTCCAACTTACTTTTCCAAAGCAAAATATTATTGTCTTTCTTCAACCTGTTCTGATTTTTCTGATTCATGCAGGTGCATAGCAGCCCATCCTCTTTGCACACCAGCTGGCTAATACAACACAGTATTCTATTTCAGCAGTAAGAACCAGTGCCAACATCCTGCCAGAGCCCTGGGTAATATTGTTGGTTGGGTCACCCTCTGTGGGTTGACATTGCCTTTGTGCAGCAGCATTATTTACATGGTCAGAAAGCTGATATGGGTGGCACAGGTGCACCGTGCATCTCTGTTGCTTTAGAATTAAGTGACATGCTTGAATGTAGAGGAACATGAGGAAAGAGTATGTAGATTTTGCAGTCCAGCTGAGTTGAAATGTTGGCTTTCTACACGAAAGAGAATAGAATTTGAAACACCTGTGTCACTGCTGAGCATCTTGTCTGTTTGTGGAGTCCTTTCCTCATCTGTCCAGCGTGTGATGTCCTTGAGGGATTTGCGTGAAGATGAGGGTTGCTGGATGCAAAGTCCTTGGGACAAAGTTGGTGCTGAGCAAAAGATTATTACTAGTTCTATAAGGCGTACCACTAAGATTTACTCGACAAGTGCAGGCTCTGCCCCTACAGTCCGTTGATTAATTTCCTTATATTTCTTATATTTCTCCTGAGTATGGCAACTGAATAACTAGCATCATTGTTTATCCCTTTGTGTATATTACTGGCTAATGAATGAATAATAAAATTCTGCACACTGTTGTGGTAGATAATTACACATATGAACAGAAAGTATGCTATTAGACAAGGTTTGAGGCTAATTTCACCACCCACTGTCCCCTCAGTGGAGCCAGTTTTAATGTAAGTCATATAGCGTGCTTGTTGAGAAGGGCTTCAAAGCAGTCGTTATGAAGATTATTAAAGATTCAAGATGAAGTCCTCCTGCTGCTGTATCATTCTTAATTTTTATTGTTGCCATCACTGCGAAGAATGCTTTATTACTTGAAAGCAAACTTGCGCATTTGGAATTAGACTAGGACTTGTTGCTATGGACTAGGGTTTGTTTTGGACAAGGCAGGTATGTATGAATAGTAATGTGTATATTATTTTTAAACTACTTAGAACATGTAAGATCATTTGTGTAAAAGTAGAAATAAAATATGTTGGTGTTTTTTGGGGGTCGGATAACACTTTTGAGTGCGATGATCTCACCTGTGCTTGCTAGACAAAGTATGTGTCTCTTCTGGATGATTTCATAGCTTTTTCACACATTGCCTGACCAATGTTTGTGCACTTTTTAAATAGTGTCTAATTTTTGGCAAAATTACTCTGCTATAATTAGAATTACATCTGCCGAATGGTAATTGATAACATAGTTTCCAGCCATCAACAGATTGATCCTTCAGATGAGATCATCACATAGTTCAAGAAGCTAACTGTAGTTACCTGATGGAAGCAGCAGGTGTCTGGGAGAATACCTTTTAGAATTTCCTAAGTTTAGTGCTGTCATGAATAAGATCTCTAACCTGGGAATGAGCCTGACTTTGGACTAGGAATCCAGTTAACATAAACTCTTAAAAATAACTCAAGAAGACATTTGAAGGCACTGAGGACTTGCATTAATTCTATTTCTTAGAAAAAGACAAAAAAGTATTTGTTGAACCTCCTCAACCATTAGAATTCACATTACTTAAAATGCCAAGGCTAGGGACTGACATTGTGGCTTAATGGATAAAGCTATCACCTGAGATGCTGGCATCCCATATGGGCACTGGTTATGCCCCAAGTATTCCACTTCCAGCCCACATTCCTGCTAAGGTGCCAGAGAAAGCAGCAGAAGATGTCCTGAGTACCAGGCCCCCATGTGGGAGATCTGGAAGATGCTTCCAGATCCGGCCTTGGTCCTGGTCCAGCCCTGTCTATTTTAGCCATTTGGGAAGTGAAGAAGTGAATTGGTGGATGGATGATCATAGTCTCTCTCTCTCTCTCTCTCTCTCTCTCTCCCTCTCTGTAACTCTGCTTTTTAAATAAAAAATCTGGAAATGTTACATCTACCTTGTAGCTTTCCATATGACAAGAGTCTTAAGAATGTTACGGGAATGAAGAAAACAAAACAAAACGAAAACAAAAACCCAGAAATACCGTGCAATAAGGGGATTCTAAGAGATATTTCTGTTCAGTACTCTTTTCCTTGGTCATGGAAGCATTGCAGGAAGACCCTAAGTCTGGATTTCATGGTGTATGAAATTCATGTGTATTTGTACACACACAGCCTCCAACACACAAACAAAAGCAACTAACATAAACATCAGCGCCCAAGCAGTATCCCAAGAGGTGGCTTCCAGCTCATCATCTCCCTTCCACGAACTCCACATACCAGGGATACTTGTGTGGAAGCCATGCTTGAAAGAGGCTTTCCATCAGATCAAACTGATGACTAACTGTTGATCCTGTATGTACCCAGATGCCAACACAAGCCAGCGGTATGATCAGTTGCAGTCATGTCCCTCGTTTTCCAGCTAGAATACTTGTTGAACATACACACTGATGAACACACACACACAGATACAGACATACATAAATATATACACATTGCTGTGCTGACCAGTCTTGGCATTAGTTTGTACTTGAAATTCAGTGAACCCCCAGAATGACTACTTAGGATGAGGAATGGCCAGCCTCTATAAGGGTCAGTCATTTGGTCTGGTCCTGCCAAGGCAACTGCAGGCAGCGATTGAAATCCAATAGATCAACAGCAGGCTCATTTTTAAGTTCATACTCTTGAGTGGCCTGCAAATGATGCTATAAATATCCCAATAGCCTTTGACAGAAAAAAGGTTCCCCACCTCTGGTAGCTTTTAGTGTACAGGACTACATTCTGAGAAACAGAAAGCAAACTGAACTGCAAGAATATAGAACATGTTTTCTAAATATCTTTGGTCATCTTTCTTAACTTGGACCTAGACAAATTTATTTAATCAACTCTTTATCGACTCTGATATTTTGGTGTGTAAATTTATTTACTGGTTTCAAACAAGGTGAAATGTGGGAGAGAGATTTCACTGTAGAAATACAGGAAGTGCATTTTCATTTTGTTCAAGTTCCCGGGAGCCCCAAGGCAGTGGATATGTGCGGCTGCTTTACTGCATGTTAAGGATGAGGAACCTCGTCCTTAGTAGTATTTTCCATCCTAAAGAGTGAATTGTTTTCGCTGTGGGGAAAGTTTTCTGGCGATGTAATCAATTGATGGTGTTTTTTAGAGACCTGCAGCCTTCGCATTCCTTTGCAGAATGATGTGTTTTTCTGTTTTAATTAAAGAACTACTTACACAAATGTAGGTTAAGCCTTAAAAAAACAGCCAGTTAATTAAATGCAATGACTCTCCCAAAGCTAACGAAGATTACCTGTCTGGGTGGAAAATCCTAGGGAGACTGAAATGCTTGGTGTTAGATATACACAATTTCTGATTGAAGTAACTTATCCATGTCCAGGGTAATTACATTTGAGATGCTTTCTTCAGATTGGATATCATGATTTTTTTTTAATAAGAATGAAATATAAATAGAAAGAAAGTGATTCCTCTTAAGTATACAGTTTTTATTGCACATACAAATTTTATCAGAGCAGATGTTCCTACATAAAATTTTAAATAAAGTTAATTAATTATGTGTAGTAAAATAATAAAAACAGTATTTGAAGTAAATCTTATTATGCTTGTATTGTGCCAATCATATATGTCTAATGAAATGATTTCAAGGAGTAATCACATTTTCTTTTATCTTGATAAAAGGAGAAATTTGAGTTATGTTGGTTTCTTACGTGTGGAGGGAAAGACTGTCTTTTTCCTCCCCTGGTTGAATCTTTCTTTGCTCAGAGAAATCAAGATAAGTTATCCATCTATGAAAGGTGGTTTTTTCCTTTTTTAAAAAAATCAGTAAAATTAAGTTTATTCCTTTTACTTTTTCCATATCACAGAGGCTGTTGTTGACTTTGAAAATTGTAGTCAAATAATGTGTCTATTAACAAATAGTAATTGATGACAGAATGGTTGCTGTCTGCTTATGATAATGATAAACTTCTGAAGGCTATCGCTTTGTTTTTGGCTTGGATTGCCCAACCGATTCAGCATTTTGGGAATGTTGCGTGGAGCGTGGAGAAGCCGATGCCCTCTGGGGTTCTTCTCAGACAGTGTGGCCAAGGAGCAGTGCTGCTGGCTTGCTGCCTCAGCTCTGCGCAGCACATGGGGGAGGTCCCTGTTGTGCAAGGCACACATCTCTGAGTGTGGTTGTTCGGGGCTTTTACAAAGCTTCATTTCCTGTTAATGTGGTACTGCCAAGGTCACCTGCTATGAACAGGTTCCTGTCTCACCTCCAACTCATTTGAAATTTTGTTTGTGCCAGAGTGTTCCACGGTGGCTGGTGGCTCCAGTCGCTGCCGGATCCTGTGAGTGACCTTTTCTGGAAGCGCAGCCGGGCCTAGCCCTTCCTTAGGATCTGTCTGCTTTTGCACAACAGTGGCCGAGTTGAGTAACTCCACTGGATGCTGTGACCTGCAAGGCACCAGGGCCTCAGGCTGTTAGCAGGTCAAGTTTGCTGAGCCCTGTGCTGGAGGAGAAACTAAGCTGGCTGTTTTCCATGTTCAAAGGCACGCAGTCTGCCTTGCTGGCTGTCAGTTATTACTTGCAAGATTTTGTTTTTAGTTGGATGCTTAAAACTTTTTAAAATACATACAAGAAAGATAAAGTTGGATGTACTGGGTAAGGAGTAAAGCATAAGTCAGTTTCAAATAACCAGGTTTTCCTCTCAGATCTTCATTTAGAGAGAATATATGTATTGAAACATTTCATCTGTAGGCATTTACCTTTGTGTGTCAAAAAACTTTGAAGATTTAAATATGTGATTACTAACTGTTTTTAAAAAAGAGGCATCCCAACAAAATATGTGAGAGTTGTGCTGGCAACATTGCACTGGGTCTTTTAGATAAAGTTATCTTCCTGACCCTTCAGTGTTTTTAAAAGCATGTGCCAAGAATTCATCATCACAGCAGGAAACACACCCAACTCACTGAGCCAGAGTTTCTGAAGCCACCTCCCTCCTGTGACCTTTTCCTTTAACGTTTCGTTTCGTTTGATTGGTTTCGACTGCCAGCTCACATTTCTTTGGTTTCTCATCTTGGACTTAGTGACACCCACACACCATCCCTTGCACTGTTGCACCCCAGACTTGGTCTTGCAGAAGCAAAGGAGACCAGGCAGCGTTGTGTGTGTGTGTGTGTGTGTGTGTGTGTGTGTGTGTGTGTGTGTTCCTCAGCCCAGCAATTTCATTCTTTCGCCTGGAGACAAACTGTTTTACAAGTTCTAAGCTTGTCATATAAGGAGATTCCTTCCACCCAGCTTTACTACCCGCCCATCGGCAGCTCACACTGCAGTTGCTAACAATTCTGTGTGCAGCATGTTGGGCCGACGGACACACTGAGAGCGCAGTGTGCGCAGGGAGGAGTTTCCGTGTTGGGAGTTCCCCTGAGCTGAGACTTGCCCACTGGCTGCCTCAAGTACCCTTTCTTCCATCGAGTGTTTGCAGTCACGGAGAAAATTTAGAGCTCTAAGGAAAAACAAAACAGCAGTAACAGAGACCTGGTTTTGTGGTTGCCATTTCCTCCGTGTTTCAGTAGGTGTTCAGTTTCATTGGATATTCCTCTTTTTTTTTTTCAATTGTTTTTGAACCTATGATTGAAAGCGGTAGTTGGTCTATGGCTTTTGAGGAGGTAAGTTTTTTTTTTTTATTTATATGTCTCTGTGTCATCAGTGTCTGTCTGAAAAATGCAGTATCCTCCTCTTAAAAGTTACTAACCAAACTCTCTCAGCCGTGCAGCAGCCACGTAGGAGGAGGCAAGGCTGGTGAGACACTGCTGTTTGCTTTTTGTCCCAGGAGTGACGTAAGCAGTGTCCCCTGTAATCTGAGCTGCAAAAGCATGGGAGGGAGCAGTTAGCCTGGTAGCTTTACCGTCTCTGAGCACTCGGCCACTTCTCTGAGTTAACAGAGCTGACTTGGCCAGCATCTCAGAATGTCCCGCGCCAGGGCGCTGTCTTTGCCATGCCACCACCACCAGACGTCCTTCCTGCTCGTACAAAGGCAAGCTTCTTCCATCAGTTAGTTTTGACTCCTGGGAAGGATCAGAGAGGACAGCCAAGTAATACAATGTCTGTTTAAGCCTTGATAAGTGTAGGCAAGCTCTTTGTAGAAAGCCTCCGTGGTCTCCTGTTGCGCTCACTGGCGCTGGAGGACTCGTCGCTGTCACCACACCCGCGTACTTTGGAGGATGATACTGCATTTTCGGCCCGTGGCTTGCTTTCCCACTTGTCTGAGTGCCCAGCAGGAGTCTGGCACTTCCCACTGCGCAGCTTGCTTTGCAGTCACTGAACTGAAGCTTCTTGCCATAGCAAAAGCCAGCAGGTGCCCACTCCCCGTCCCTGCCCACCCTGCCAGGCTGTTTGGCATTCTAAGGACCCCTAGACACAACATCTCCCTCCAGTCTTTCCCCAACCTTGCCTCTCTTTAGCCTTGTGTCTAGAGGGGGTTTGGTTCCAGCAGTCAAGTGTAACGAGAAGTTGGCTACCAGAATCTCAGCCGA